AATAGGTTTTGTGGACTTGGATACGTTGTTCAATGGTTTTCCTTGTGGTACACTGTGGGGGTGCTCCACAAGTAAGGGATTGGGGGCCTGTTGGACCGTGGCTGGACCACCCAATACAATTAACAATCAAATTTGATTGTTAATCAAGATGATAGAGTGTTTTGGACAGATGGGTCATTTTGCATATGTTAAAAGCCAGGAGACAGGAGGTTGGCTTGAAACACAGCAATGAAGGCTACTTATGGGACAGATCTGGTTGGCAGGCCACAGACTGATTGAAGTCTTCCGGATGGAAGACGAAACATTTCTCCCTTAAAGAAACTGGTCCAGATGAAATGATTTAACTTTTTTTTTGTATCATGGGGTTTGTTCATGAGTGAAGGAAGAATGGAGTGTGAGATTGACAGATGGATTGGTGCAGCATCCGCAGTATTGTGGACTCTGTGCTGGTCCATTGTGGTGAAGAGGGAGCTGAGCTGTAAGGCAAAGCTCTCTGTTTATCAGTCGGTCTACATTCATACCCTCACCTATGGCCATTAACTCTGGTAAGGATGCTCCCTGGACGCCTCCCTAGTGAAGGGCTTCGGGCAAGTCCAACTGTGCGGAGGCCCCAGGGAAGACCCAAGAATGTCTCTTGGTTGGCCTGGGATTGCCTTGGAGTCCTACCAGAAGAGCTGGAAGAAGTTGCTGTGGAAAGACATGTCTGGGCCTCCCTGTTCAAGCTGCTGCTCCCGTGACCCGACTTCAGAAGAGGAGAATGGATGGATGGGTAGATGGATGGTCTTAATTACTCATGTTTAAGAAAAATAGATTATCCCCTCATTTTTTTAAAGCATTTTGTCAAAAAGAGAACTGGGAGTGCCATTGTTTCGAGGATCATTAATGGAGGTAACAATTAAAAGCCTTACATATATACAGTAATATATATATATACTGGTATATATAATGTAGAATGGACAAGCTGTGTTGACCTTTAAAATTTGTAAATATTAAAACTGTTTGCCATCAATTTGATGAAACTCTTCAATGGCACCGTCAAGATTCATCTTTGTATGTCTGCTTAAACTATTACATCATATATGTATTTTTATGTCACTTGTGTGCTCTTTTTATTGTACTTTTTTTGTTTGTGTATTTTATTTGACCTTTTATCTTTTTAAAGTGTTTTACTGTCAACCTGACAGAGCCAACAGTTGAATTTGAGCCCTAACTGCGAAATCTGGGCACATTTACAGGCTATCTTTATCAGTGCACACCATCATTATTGTTCATTTTGATATAAACAGTAGACCACGACAAATACATCAGTACAAATTGTTCATAGTTTGTAGTCACACCCATATCAGCTGAGAAATTTAAAACCAAACCAAAGGGGCTTTGCGTGTACCTTCAGTGTGTTATCTAATCTCCTACCATAAGAGTTTAAGCAAAAATAGAAAGAACATTTTTAGGTGAATTGGAATTTGATTATGACACGTGCGGAAAAACAGAATGAGAGCCATGAAGTGTAAAAACATGACCAAAATTGCAACAAAGTAAATCACATGTTGCAAACAATACCACCAAGGGAACACAAGTTAGAAAACACGAAAGTCCTTAAGTTGACCCGGACCAACCAGAACTTCTGAGGAATGATGTTAGGAGGTTGCTGGATCGTTCTGGGCCTGAAGCTCAGACAACAAATTTATTTATTTATTTTTTTACCTCAAAGTGCTGTAAATCGTAATAATTTCTGAATACAGGTGTAAAGTGCCGTTTTTTACTTTAAACAAGAAAACAAAACATTACAGAAATTTGTTTTGGCTTCTGCATCATGGAAAAAAAAAATACAGAAGAGAGAAAAGTGCTCTTTTTCAGACACACCGAAACATACATAACAAACCATGGAAGACTTTTTGAAAGACTTGAGAAATTCTGGGAATTTTCCATACACACTGTATCTGAAAAGTTGTTTTTCTCTTTAACTCATATGAATGTAAACAATAACTCATGGCAGCCCGAATGGGCGAGGCTTTTTTTTTTTTTTTTTAAATCATCCAATGCTTTTCTTTGAAGAGAATCATTCTGAAACTGCCCTGGTGACATGTTATCTCCTGAAGAGGTAGCTTCCCCCGATGGAAAATAACCAAAGAATGCTACTGAATAACTGCAGCTATGGTGAGTTAAACACTCTTTTCTTCAATATGGGTATATTTGTATAATGTTAGCAAATTATATTAGATAATTTCTGTGTGAGGTCAGTTTTGCAGCAGTGATTTTATTCACAAAGCCATTTTATTCCAGTTTAATGCTAACAGAAGTGACATGTTCAAGATAGTTTTGTTTTAAAAATCAATGTTGTGCAAAGAATCAGCTCAGGAAAAAAACGTGTTTTTCATTGATTTAAAAAAAAAAAAATCAAACTAATACTAAAACTGAGTTTAACCTTTAAAAAAACAGCATTGTCTCAGTCTTTTTCAATTCTGTTTGGTTCAATAGGACACACAAAAGCACAGTGTTTAGACAGTCCTGTGCAAAAACTCATCTATGCTTCCATCCATCTTTCCATGCATCCATCCATGCAGCCTTCCATCCATGGATGCATGTTGAGACTTTTCAACAAACATCTCTTCGGAAATCACCTGGTTTCAAAACTACTGTGCAATGTCAGTCAAAGAGTGCCATTTTGTTTATGTTAGTGTTTTGTGGATTCATTTAGAGGAACGACAAGAAGTTGTGTGTCTTTGAAATAAGTTGTTAAAAAGATGCCTAAAGACACAATTTAAAACTTTCTCCATGCGTCTTCTTTCGTGTGTTGCCACATAGCTGCTTCATCTCTTACGAAAGTAATTAAAGCTGGTTAAGCTGTTAAGTAAACTCATCAGAGTCCCAGAGGGGACTGAAGATGGAAAGCATATTTAGAAGAAAACCTTTAAAGACCCTCAGAAAGCCTAAAGAAATATTGCCCAAAAACACTTAAAAGGTTAGAAGGTCTGGCTTCTTAGAAACAAAACCTTTATTTTTCATTCACACAGTTGTCCACGTCGGCTTTGAAAACAATGCAATGTGGTTCTCTTAATATACAGAGCACACAATCAAATGGAAACTTAAGTCTTTTTTTTTTTTTGCACAGCTCTGAATCAAATTTGTGCAGTTTTAGGTTATTGTTAGCCCAGTTGATTCATGTTTTGCGCAATTTCTATCTTTTCTGTACAGTTGTCAGTAAATTAGTTCTACTCTCTTCATTATCATTCTTTCCATTTGTATTGTATTTATGTCTGTTGCTGCAACAAAGACTGGGTCTTTGAATAATGATTAGAATTATTAGAATAATGATTAGAATAAAACACATTTGTGTCTCCAGCAGCCACCAAAGTGTCATTATTATTTTATAAAAACAATATCAGAAGCTATAACATAAATAAATTGTAAAGGAATTCCATGAAAATAGTAAGTGATTTTAAAGTTTAAAATAAAAGTACAGTACATGAATCTATTTAATCTGCTTTTTGAGCTCCCTCACCTTCCATAAAATGTCCTGCAGGATCACAAGAAGAAACAGCGGCACCTAGCGTCCATATGAAAGAAAGCAATCACTTATGCTGGAGTTTTAACCTATTTACTGTCAAAAACTAACTTAAGAACAAAGTTCACAGTTTACAAAAATAATACTAATGAACAAAAAGGTCCTGATGCATGCTCAATAATCCAACATGTCTTCTGGATGGGTTCCTCTTTGCTGAAACGTTTCGTCTGTTATCCAGAAGACTTCTTCAGTCTGAGGAGCTGCAACAAGCTCAGTTTTATAAGCATCACCTTCTCATAGTGGATCAACCAGTTTGAGTTTCAGTTTGGACCATCACACAGATGGTCCTCCATTAGCATGTGAACAGCTAGTTCTGGCTGTCACCAGCAGGTTGATCCACTATGAGATGGTGCTGATCATAAAACTGTTGCAGCTCCTCGGACTGAAGAAGTCTTGAATAAAAGATGAATAAACGTTTTAACATTGAAGAATCCGTCCAGAGGACCTGACTCAACCTGATTAAATAAATAAGTAAGAACTAGTCTAGTTCGTGTACATTTAAAGCTGAGGGTCTATTATTAAACGTCGAAGCCGATAACAACACAATAAATATTTTAAACTCCTGTTTCCTTTAATCCTTCCTGCGCACGAGGGTTGATTTAATCCGCCCAGATTTGTGAATGAAGGGTGAGGGTGTGCTCATTTTATGTCTCTCTGTTTTCAAAGGGGGGCGGTAAAGACGGTTTAGCCATGGCGGTTATTCCGGGCCGCTCCAGATTAAAAAACAATCGCACCCAGTAGGAGCCAATGAGGGAAGGTGAACAACAGGTAGGCGTCCTGTTACGAACTGTCGAGTTTTTCTTTTTGTCTTTCTTGGAAACAAATGGACCGAACTGAGCACACAGCGCGTGCTGGAGGCCAGAGCTGGACCCGAACTTCTCCTGGTGAGGTTTTAAACCCCTGAAAGAGTTGAAGCTGGAGAGAAGAGGAGCTGCTGTGAAATGTTTTCCTCATGAACTAGGTCCTTAATTTCAGTCACATCCGGATGAGAAGCTGATGGTGAGCTTGACTTTTCCTCATTGTCTCAGTATTTGTCCTGATGTTGCTGCAGCTCTGTCCCTGCCCCACCATCAAACAGTATAATGTGCTTTTAATGCTTGTTGTTGCACAATCCAAGAAGGAGTCTTGTGTGTGACTCACAGCAATAACGCCTCCATCACATTCTTCTTATGTAAGTTCTGCTCCATCATAGACCCGGTGCCCATCTACAGTTCTTCTAAATGCAAAAGAAGAAGAGGAGAGAAATGATGAAGCAGGATTGGTCATGATTTTGATTTTCTTATCAAACTAATTAGTTTGTTGTCCTGTTTATGTCTCCACAGCATCCTTCACCCCCCTTCCTTACTAAAGTGGGAGAAGTAATAGAGGAGGAGGAGGTTTGAACACCCAGAGAGGTCAAGACTCTCGCTGACCCTGATATCTCCTGCAGGAGGGCATGGATGTGCTCCGGAGATCCTCTGCGTTCGCCTCCGAGGTCCTGGATGTGTTTGACCGATCGCTGACGGAGAGAGAGCTGGTGTCTCAGTCCAAAGCTCTGTGCAGAGACTACATCCTGTCTCGGCTCCACCAGAACGGGCTGGGCTGGTCCAAAACTGAAGTGGACTTCTCTCCATCCTCCAATGCAGCGCTCGCTGAAGCGTCTCTGGTGCTTGTTTGTCTTGGTAAGAAGTTATCTTTCTAATCTGGATATGAAAGATGGGATTTACCTGTATAAATAAAGGTTGATTGATTGATTGATGAAGTTTTTCCATCATTTATGCAAGGAGAGGACACCTGTCCCTTGTCTTTTATGTGCCGGCGTCGACTTATTTAAAAATAAAATAAAATAAACATAGGGATGCCTTTTTAAATTTTCATGTGAATTATGACAAAATGTCCAAAAATTCACTTTCTAGTCCATATTTGTGACCAAAACATAAAACGAATAACAAAGGTTTTTACAATAATCTTTAAACAAATGTTTGATTTCAAACATATTTTCCTGCGCGGGTCATTTTAAAAACATATGTACATGCATTTGTTTCATGTTTTAAACTGCTGCTGCACGTTCATGTTGGTCTTGTCTCATACATTCAGGCTCCTCATCCTCAGTGACTGTTTGTCTCCTCTCGTCTCTGCCGCCTCCTGTTTCCTAGGCGACGAGTTGGAGTGTATACAGCCCGGTCTGTACAGGAACGTGGCGCGGCAGCTCAACATCTCCGTCGCCATGGAGAGCATGGTTTCAGATGCCTTCCTCGGCGTGGCAACAGAGATCTTTTCGGCAGGTACAGAGCTGTCGATGATGCTGATGATGATGAACATGTCACGTCAGGCGAGGGAAGTCTGCCAACACAGGAAGTGACTTGTGCTTGTGATCACAGATGAAGTTTAACAAGTGCGACTCTGCAGTTTTATTTTTAAATCCGTTCTGTTTGGATGGGCGGGGCTTCCAGAGGCCTGAGTGGGTGTGAATCATGTGTAGGTGGAAGGAGACGTCATCTAAACACATAATTATTTCACCGTCTGAGTTTAGAAACTCTCAAACACAACTGTGGGTTGAGGCTCCTTGTATGACTGCACGTCTGCAGAGTTAGCCCTGAAATATATTATTTGTCTGTTCTGACATCATGAGATATTTTGCTAACATTCAAAACAGGTTCAACTTTGACAGTTAAAAGTTTTAAGCAAAGAGTTTGCATAATGAGTAGACCTCAGAAGTTTGTGCTGTGGCAGACTCTCTGCTATTACACCAAATTTTATGACCATATTTGTAAAATTGTCTGAATTATAGTAATTTTTGTGTTTCCTATATGCATTTGGCTTGAGCAGACTGTTTATTTGGGTCAGCTCCAAAAATGAATTACTTATAGAGACACAGCCAGTGATCATTTCCTGAAAGTTTCATTAATATCTGTCCAGTGAGTCATGTGCTATTTTGCTAACAGACAGAGTTGACTCTGAGTCATTTATTTATGATGGAATTTTAAACTAAATCTTGTGCCACCTATTTGTACTCCGATTACAGATCGTGGATCAGTCTCAGCTACTGCCACACCAAATCTTAGGTCCATATGTATAAAATTTATTGAGTTATAGCCCTTTTTGTGCTTTTTGAGTTCTGTTGGCTATGGCAGCCATCTTGAATCAGATTGGTTTCAAAAGTTATTGAGCTGTAGCTGAATACCCAAGGATTACTACCTGGAAGTTTCATTAAAGTTTGTTCTGTGGTTCATGAAATGTTTTGATAATAGACGAACACTCACAATCATTATCAACTGCCTTTCAGCTGAAGGTGATAATAAGTTAGTTAGATATATATTTTTTTCTTTTTCAGACTTTTTGCCATCAGAGAGGAGAAAATGAGTGAAACAGAAATCTAGAAGGTTTTAATACAAATTACAGCCTCCAGATTTTGAACTGATGCTCATTTAGGTAACGACCTAATTGAGTCGCAGCTCATTACATCAGTCTCAGTTTCTACTACACTGATTCTACAGACGTTGGGCTTTAAAAGGAAATTAGCATCCCAGTGTGGCCTTTATGACTTCCATGAAGCTCATCTTTCACTTTTTTAACTCGGGTGAGATTTTAAACTTGTGCTTAATTGAACTTTTCCTGAAGTATTTGTGTTCTGAAACATCCAAAATACCAAGGACTTTAGGATGTAAAAATATGAATTCTGCATTAATGAGGTCATTTCCATCACTTTAAATGACATTTTCTATCAGACAGATCACAAACTGCACGTTGACTGCACTAAATGCTTTCAGAAATTAACTTTCATCACAAGGGAGAAAAGATGTGAAATCAGAAAATCACTTAAATAGGCAAACACTTCTGTAGTTCATGGGGTGAACAAACAGTTTTTAGAAACATTCAGTTTTATTTAAGATCCTGACGCGTTCACCGTTTCTTTGTTTGGCCAAGTTTTCTTCACCACAGACGTTTTCTATTAAAAGCACCACTGACATTTGAAAGTGCCCAAATAAGTAAAAAAAAAAAAAAAAAAAAAGAGATAATTTGCAGCTGTCTGTGAGAGCCTTGGAAGGAGATAAGAGAGTCGGGCTGCTGAATATTTGGTTTGCTGCCTGGAAATACCAAAAACAGAGTTTCCTAATATAAATTTCATGCTCGGGACAAATGTTTTCTGGTTTCCACGTCACTGTAATTTGTGGAAGCAGCGTGGGATTCCTCCTAAAGAACAACAAACCGGTGAACTCCAGCTGCTCCATCCCTCTGTGGTATGGATTAAAAATAGCACGAAACGGACAAAAAGCAGACCTTCTCTTTTAAAATCGCTCGTTCAGGCTTCTGTTTTTATCCAACACAAAGAAATATCAGGAATGTGTGTCTTTGGAGCTCCTGCTCCACTGTGTCCTTCACTAAACTCAACATGGCTTGTCTCTCCATCTCCCCCCGTCCTGCCTCCCACTTCTGTCCATTCTCTTTCCGCCCTCCTCCCTCATTATCCCTGACATTCTCGCGTCTATTCTGGGCCTGCGTCTCAGTGGGGAGGGAGACACGATGTGCTCGGACAGCTTCCACGGACAGTTATCTCATTTAAGCTCCCCCCCCGCAGCTCTATCTTCTTATAGCCACCGCCAGACGCCGCGGGTCAGCTCTGAGGGACAACCATGACGAGGCGAGCTGGATCCAAACAGGCCTTTAAACCTCGTTCTGCATCTAAATAAACATACAAAGAACTGAAGCGGATATAGAAAAAATAAATAATTATCCGACGGGGCTGTTTTGAAGTGAGATGAATCAGAATCCCTCTGAGTTTAATTTACATCTGGCTGCTGTTCAGTGTTTATTTCAGTGCAGGGTCCACATGTGGCACATCTGCCACGTCGGGTCAGGACATGTGACAAAAACTCCAGAGGAGGTGGGTGTTATCACCTGCAGGGAGGGCTGACGCAGTAAAAGGCAGTTTATTGATTCTCGTGAAAAAGAGCAGTGAGTTGTCTCCGGGTTTATTTTCCGCTTCTTATCACACAAACTGCCCTGAGACTGTAAAACACAGTCAGTATCAGCTGAAGCTAAACTTGGGTCTGAGACGAGTTCAGAGAACCTTAACAAGCTTATATCCATGTACAGAAGGAGAATAAAAGCTGTTTTTCCTCTTGCTGCAGGGATAACATGGGGTAAGGTGGTCTCCATGTACGCCGTAGCGGGAGCTCTGGCGGTGGACTGTGTCAGATACGGCCATCCAACCACGGTTCACATCTTGGTGGACAGTCTGGGACAGTTTGTCCGCAAATTTCTTGTTCCCTGGCTGAAGAGGCGGGGTGGATGGGTGAGTCTTCACTCCTGTACTTTCTGTTCATCTTGTAAATAATAATAATTCAATTCAGTTTGTTTATAAAGCGCCAAGTCGCAACAGAAGTCGTCCCAGGGCTCTGAACAGAAACGTTCATATATATAAATAATAAGCTAACATTATTTATCTGAGGAGCAGACTGCTTTGAGTTTAACTCCATCACAGAACTCTCATCTTCAGCAAGCATGAAGGCGACAGTGGAAAGGAAAAACTCCCTCATGAGGTAGAAACCTTTAGCAGAACCAGGCTCAGGACAAGCGGCCATCTGCTTCGACTGGCTGGGTTTGAGAGGAACAGAAACACAATGGCAGGTCAAGAATCACGTTAAGATAAAAATAATATCAAATGAAAACTATTCAATTTTAACAATTCATTTAAGGAAATGAGGTCAATTTGTCCTCCAGTAGTCTAAGCCTACAGCAGCATGACAAGCCAACCCTAACTATAGGATTTATCAAGAAGTAAAATCTTGAGCCCAGTCTTAAAACTGGACAATGTGTCAGCCTCACGGACAGAAACTGGAAGTTGGTTCCACAAGAGAGGAGCCTGATAACTGGAAGGTCTTCCTCCCATTCTGCTTTTGGAAACTATAAGAACTGCAAGTAAACCTGCAGTCTGAGAGCGAAGTGCTCTGTTGAGAAAATATGGAACAAGAAAATCTCGAATACAAGCTGGATCTAGGTTATTGAGGGCTTTGTATGTTAGAAGTATGATTTTGAATTCAATTCTGAATTTGACAGGGAGTCAATGGAGAGAAGTTGAAACTGGAGCGATGTGATCTCTCCCACTAACTCCAGTTAAGATTTAATAATAATAATAATAATAATAGTAATAAACTCAAAATGCTCGTTTCTGCATCCTGACTGGTGCAACAAGAACAGAAAATTATCTTTTTCTGACACTTAAAAGAAGCAGCAATTAGGATTCTTGCAGTTTTTTCTGCAACATGACAAATTATTTTAATTAGCATTTATAATAAAACTATCAGAATCTCTGAAAGTTCTGATGATACTTGGTCCTGAGTCTGTAAACTGAGCTCATCTCGGCTCTTTCTGGCTTCCTGTTGCTAGATCTGATGGTTCAAGTGCTTCAATCAAGTAAGCTTTATTTGAACATTCCTAGTGTTGTATTTTAACATTGACAAGATTATTGTTAAATAAGTTTTTATTATTTAAACTTTATGAGTATAAGCCTCCCTGGTAAGGTCTATTCGGGGGTTCTGGAGAGGAGGGTCCGTCGGATAGTCGAACCTCGGATTCAGGAGGAACAGTGCGGTTTTCGTCCTGGCCGTGGAACACTGGACCAGCTCTACACTCTCAGCAGGGTCCTGGAGGGTGCGTGGGAGTTTGCCCAACCAGTCTACATGTGCTTTGTGGACTTGGAGAAGGCGTTCGACCGCGTCCCTCGGGGGGCCCTGTGGGGGGCCCTGTGGGGGGCCCTGTGGGGGGCCCTGTGGGGGGTACTCTGGGAGTATGGGGTACCGGTCCTTTGATACGGGCTGTTAGGTCCCTGTATGACCGGTGTCAGAGCCTGGTCCGCATCGCCGGCAGTAAGTCGGGCTTGTTCCCAGTGAGAGTTGGACTCCACCAAGATTGCCCTTTGTCACAGATTCTGTTCATAACTTTTATGGACAGAATTTCTAGGCGCAGCCAAGGTGTTGAGGGGATCAGTTTTGGTGGCCTTAGGATTGCGTCTCTGCTTTTTGCAGATGATGTGGTCCTATTGGCTTCATCAGATCGTGATCTACAGCTTTCGCTGGAGCGGTTCGCAGCCGAATGCGACGCGGCCGGGATGAAGATCAGTTCCTCCAAATCCGAGGCCATGGTCTTGAGCCGGAAAAGGGTAGAGTGCCCTCTCCGGGTCAGGGAGGAGGTCCTACCCCAAGTGGAGGAGTTCAAGTATCTTGGGGTCTTGTTCACGAATGAGGGAAAAATGGAGCGTGAGATCGATAGGCGGATAGGTGCAGCATCTGCAGTGAAGCGGGTGCTGTACAGGTCTGTCCTGGTGAAGAGAGAGCTGAGTCAAAAGGCGAAGCTCTCAATTTACCGATCGATCTACGTTCCCACCCTCATCTATGGTCACGAGCTTTGGGTTGTGACCGAAAGAATGAGATCTCGGATACAAGCGGCCGAAATGAGTTTTTCTCCGCAGGGTGTCTGGGCTCTCCCTTAGAGACAGGGTGAGAAGCTCGATCATCCGGGAGGGACTCAGAGTAGAGCCGCTGCTTCTCCACGTCGAGACGAGCCAGTTGAGGTGGCTTGGGCATCTGTTTAGGATGCCTTCTGGACGCCTCCCTGGTGAGGTGTTCCGGACACGTCCCACCGGAAGGAGGCCCAGAGGAAGACCCAGGACACGCTGGAGGGACTATGTTTCTCGGCTGGCCTGGGAACGCCTTGGGATTCCCCCGGAAGAGCTGGCCCAAGTGGCTGGGGAGAGGGAAGTCTGGGCCTCCCTACTTAGGCTGCTACCCCCGCGACCCGACCCCGGATAAGCGGAAGAAAATGGATGGATGGATGCATAGGGCCCAAATGTGATCACAAACTATAATTGGGCTCTGCTATTCACTACTGCAGGAGGCGAGACTAAGCTACTGTGAAGAGAATATATGATTTTTTTTTTTATTGATCTGCTTCCTGATACATGCATTATTATTATTTTACCACATTACTAAACTTTTAATCCTTTTGAGGTGGTTGTGAACTGCCAGGATGATACTACAATGTGTTCATTATCCTTTTTCTATATTATAATCATTCTTGATGTGACTATCTGTAAGGACACAGCGAAGAGGTCGTCTTTTATTATGTTCAAGACTTTTGAACAGTGATTTGTTCTTCGTAAGAATCCTTGAGATGTTTACCTCCGGTGGCTCCTCTGTGTCTTGGCTCACAGCTATGATTTGGATAACACTAGAGCTGGGACACAGGGTGGAGGAGATTCCTACAAAACGAGACGACTTTGTTTTAGCCGGTCAGAACCAGATAGGATCCGAGCATTGGGAGTTTCTGTACGTGCAGTGTTTTTGCTTTCTGTATCCTGACCGGCTTTGTGTTTTTAAATTTGGTGAAATCTACCGAATCAAACCAAATCACCTTTTTGTCAACACTGCAACTGGACTGATTTAAAACAAATGATGCAAACTGTTTTTGATTTTTTCGAGGGGAAGTGGAGGATTAACAAAAAAGCTGACCCTTTTATTGTTATTTTAATTTGTTTGATCGATTTTTATTGAAAGATATTTGTCTGTAATGCTACATATTGTCACTTCACTTAAGTTAATTAAGGTAAAAAAAAACCGAGCTGTTTAATTTAGTTATGTAGAAATGATAAAATAGATATTTAACACATTAACTTGCAATGCTCTGAAGGTTTTGAATGCCTACAAATTGGTCAAAGTCACATAAATTCATATGATGTAGAGCTTTCATTTGACCAGTTTAGATTCAGTAATCATTTATGGGAGTTGCAGTAGCTCGGTGGTCAGCGCTGTGGTCTCGTAATTTTGAGACTGTGAGTTCGAGCCCAGGTTGCGTCAGAAGGGCATCCAATTTATAACAAGTTCCAAATTCTTCATGCGAGTTCTCTCAACCCCTGCAGAGGGGAGCAGCCGAAAGAAAAAGGACATTCAGCTCATAAACTTGATTCTCTTCTTTGGAAAACGATACGTTTTCTCATCCTGAGAGTTACAGCAACTAGGTGGGAGTGGTAGCACAGAGGTTAGAGAAGGTGGGCCTGTGATTGGAAGATCGCTGGTTCAAGTACCAGTACCGACAACATCAAAAAATGTGGGTGGGATAGGTGAAGCACCCACACCTGCCTCCACCCTCATTTGCCCCACTCTGGGCCCTTGAGCAAGGCCCTTAACCCCCACCATCTGCTCCTCCAGATGTCCTAGATATCAGCTCTCTGCTCCACACACAGAGGGCTGTGGTAGCTCAGTGGTCTGGTTGTGTCAGGAAGGGCATCCAGCGTAAAAATAACTGCCAAGTCTTCGTGTGACTTAGTTCGCTGTGGCGACCCCTAACGCAGGGAGCAGCCGAAAGAAGAAGAAACTTTTTTAAACATATTCCCACTGAATCCTCCCCCCAACTTTTCAACAAACTGTTGACCAGAAGAACAAAATAAATCTAACCTCTCTCTCAAGCGTGTTTATCTGGAAATGACAGATAAAGATGGCCCTAGTTTGCAATTTTTATTATTATTACTATTTTTTATTTTTTACCCTTTTTTTATCTGCTTTTCTCTAGTTTTCTGAAGCCCTTTAGCGCCCCCTGGCGGCCCCCACTTTGAAAAACACCTGCCCTAGATGGCAGCTCTGCTCCACACAGAGGGCTGTGGTAGCTGGTGGTCTGTTGTCGTGTCAGGAAGGACATCAGGTGTAAAAATAATTGCTACGTCATCGAGCGACTTGGTTCACTACTGGCAACCACCAACGCAGGGAGCAGCCGAAAGAAGAAGAAAAGAATTTGAGCTCTGAAACGCTCAGCTTTTGCTCACGTTTCTCTAAAAGACTTTTATTCTGAAAATCCCAGTCTGCTCAGACTGATGAGGAGCAGGATTAGGAAACTGTTGCTCATTTTAGGCCATGCCACAGTAACTGTTATAGAATGATGTGGGCAACAAACAAAGACCTGTGAGATATTTAAACAGAACTTTGATGTGTTTTTTTTTTGTCCCCGTGCAATTAAAAACATTTATTTCTGTGTTTCCTTCCTGTCAGATGGAGATCACAAAGTGTGTAGTGAGGTTGGATCTCTCCCCGCAGCGCTTCTGGTTGTTCTCCATCCTGGAGTCCCTCAAGTATTTCCTCACCACGCTGTACGTCTGCATCATGAAAGAGCAGTGAGCAGGCTGGAGACGCTTTCCTATAACAGAACTGAAACTTTAGGCTCGTGTCTGAGCTTGAGGACAGATTTGTTGCTGGATGAACATCGACGAACGTCTCATCAGCAGCGGTGTTTGTGTCGTTGCAGCGTGAGGGAGTGCCCTTCAACCAAAGAGCGGTCGCCTCGTGCTGCAGAGGATATTCAGCAACATAAATGACTTTTCTTGTATAAGTCTTTGACTCAGTTTCTCTTCTCCGTTGATACTGGTGCAGTGAAGCAGCGTTTCCAGTGTGATGTGAAGCTTTTCATGCTGCTGATGATAACAGTCTGATGCTCAATTTAAGGATTTATCATTGATTGTAAATGTTTCATGAGGATGGTGAGGCCTGGGTTTGAGGCTCGTACGGTGCCGCTGACGCTTCTGGGTCTGGATAAAGGTCAATCAGCTCTGAGCGTCCACTCGATGGATGAGATGAACTGTCTACACTGAATGAGTTGAAGCTGGTGTACTTTATTAAAACTCACTGTCTCTTTGCATTTAAAGTCGCCTGTAAATTTTAAACACATGTAGAGATTAGTTTTTCTCTTCAAGCACTTTTATTTTGGGCCAAAGAACTTTCTTCGGACAGTCTGAATGTAAATATTGTGATTTTTTTTTATTTAATTTTTTAATTTGTAGCCTATTTATTTATGATTTAATTAATTTTTTTACACCTTGGTTCTGACTAACACTTGAAAGCACTGCAGTATATTCAGCTGTCAGCATGGCTGCTGTTCAGGATGATTGTGTGTAATCTGTGTCACCGCCACAGTGTTGATTTGCGTTGTTTTGCTAGTTATTATTTTTTTACAACACAATAAAATGAACCACATGCTCACTAATGATCATGTGACACTTTATTCTTTGTTTTAACTTTTTTGGCAGCTTTGAATGGTGTTTTATTTTGCACTGAATGGAGCCATTTTAAGCACATTTGCTAGTTGTCTCTTGCTTCATGAGTTTGCACGAGTTGAAAAGTTTTTTTCATTGCGCAATAGTTCAGGGATTTTCCACTTTTCACGAGAATTCAAATAAATTAAAGGCACCATGATTGTATCAAAGTTCATGCTCAATCATCGAGGTAAAAAAAATCCAACAAAGTTCAGTCAGGTCATCTGGATGAATTATTTTTTTTTGAGACATTTCGACCTTTATCCAAGACTTCATCAGTCCGAGGAGCCGCAAACAAACTCAATCCCACAAGTAGCACACCCACATAGTGGACCAACTAATTTGCTGGTGATAAGGTGGTTTCTGGAGCCCACCCTCTCCCCCGTCGACTCCTTTGAGGCAGCCATATGTGGTTCAAAACAACAAAGTTCATGCTCAATAATCCAGGATAAAAAACAACAACGTTCAGTCAGGTCATGATTGCAGCTTTTATAATCTGTGAATATATTTAACTTGATAATTCTTCATGAATATTTTGTACACTGTTTTTCACAAGCTAAAGTTTAGACACAGAATCTGCTCAGTTTTTTGTTTTAGCTTTTGTTATGAAAGAAAAATCAAAAATCTAGTTTGAGCTGTTTTTATTCCTCAACAAAAGTCTGGGCATATTTTACATAAAGGGCACTTGTCTGAACACCAAACATAAATCTGTTTTAACCCATGTTTTTAGCATCAGCTAAAGCTCAGATACAGGACATGTAGTAGACATGACATGACTCGGTAACATGAACTGGGCCACTTTCACTTCACCATAATTAAAGATCTTGTAAAACCTACCACTGTGGGGGAAACCGTGTAAGACCGACTCTGATCTTGTTCTGCAGGTTTTTTCCATCTGTAGTAAACATCGGGGAATTCTCACATGGAGCCAGAGCTACGACTCAGTGAAGCAGTTCGTCAGCTCTTTACTGCTCCAAGCAGCTCTTTACTGCTCCAAGCAGCTCTCGTCTGCCTTTAAAGAAGATGACAGGACACCTTACAGATTCCAGCAGGACACGGTCTGTTTATCACTTCAACCTGACTTTGTTTTTTGCGTTTCATTTTAAATTACTTTTGTTACGGTTACCCATGCAAGCCCTAACAGGTTTGTACAATGCCTGACTGTAAGTTAAAGTATGCATCTGATTACAGAAAATACACCATTTTCCACTAAAAATTCGTTTAGCTGCCAGAAATTAAAGTATGAGGACCCCTATTTGAGTTACACCAATACCTGGGGCCCAGAAATAATATATATATATATATATATATATATATATATATATATATATATATA